TCACTGGAGGGAGTGTAGTTGAAGGTACACCAGGAAGATAAACTGCGAAGGTGTACAAAACAACTGAAGGTAAAGGCAGCAGGAGAGAAATTCCATGAACCTAGCTAAGGAAAAGTTAGATTGTTACTTCCCTGCTTGAAAGGGAATCCGCGGTCTGTTGCTGTGCTGTGGTCTATTTTCTCATGGTCAATGCCGTGCAGGCCTGGAAGGATTCCTCAGAGCTTATTGGCTTCTGTAGGTAGTGATGGCAAGATGTAGACCCCTGAAGGGGCAGAATTTAACATTTTTGTGTACATTCACAGTTACTGTTCTTGTAATTCATGTAATTCGTTGCAGCATGTGAAAATTTTTACTTGTTTTTCTTCAGTTAGGTTGAATTGGAAACTCGAATACTGAGATGTGTTGGTGGTGCATCTGAGCTTTGTGGTGCGGGTTAGGTGTTGTTTTGGTTTTGTTTTCTCAATGCAGTTAGCATGGTCGAGGCGGTCAAAAAAATGTAATGCCACTTCAGCAGACGGAGTCTTGCACCATTTTTTGTGGTTGAAGAATGCATTAAACTTTAAAACAGTGGAGCTTTTGCAATGCCCTTCTTTAGAAAAGGTTTTCTGTTTGCTCTAACGTGGAAGAAATTTGGTTTGTCTGTTGCTGTTGTGAGGGACTAGAACTTTTCAGGACTGGCTTGAGGGGGGCAAAAAAGTTTTCATGCATTTCTGTTACGTTACAGTAAAAAAATGGTAGGTTTAGATCACATCCTTGGACTGGAAAAAATTTCTAATGTGCTGCATGTTTGAACAGCTACTCTGCTGAATTGAATCTAGGCTGCTTACATGTTTATTAATACTGCTGTGTGCACCTGTCCTGTGTCTTCAAATATATAACTTCTGTTTTCACATGAAAGTGCCTATATACCTTTCTATTTTCAGTTACATGCCAAACAACATTGTTATACAGATGCTGCTTATGATGTGCAATAAAACGTTTTGGTGAGCCAGATTTGTTCCTTTTTAAAAACCAAATCAAAAAATACCCATCATTTTTTATCAGTCTGGATGTTCTAGCCAGGCAGAGCCGTTCTTCCAGGTGGCTTAATGAAGATTTAATTGATTTATTTTGCTCATCTGGAGAGTGTGTGGATTACCTCTGTCAATATTGGGCGTGATAAATGAGGACTGGGCACTTAAAGAGCAATTTGAATTATTTGAGCTGTTTGAGGATCGAGAGGTGACTTGATTCAAGAGCCATTATGAGGACAAAACGCGGAGTGCCTTTTGGGATCTTGTGAGGTAGTGGGTCGTGGCATAAATCAGTGACGAGAAACTGATACTGAATGTGTTTGTGTGAGGCTGGGATCAAACTGAAGAAGTGATTGTGCTCTTTTGATCAAGTTTCAGAGCTCAGCTGGAAGGTGTTCTTTGGCGTAAATTACAAGGGAGAGGTGGGATTGCTGGGTGAAATCCAGTGGCTTGTGCTTACACAGGAGGTGGGAGAGGGTGATGTATTTGCTCTTTTGGGAGAGTAAATGACCAGGAACAATATCTCTTGATATGTCTGCCGCCGCCTTCTAGCCAAAACAAGAGAAATTTAGCAGTTAGGTTAGATCGTTGTATTTGTGCCACCTTAGTTTCTTAAGCTTGGTACAGTATTTTGACAAAAGTCTCGCAGAAAGCCTGCTGACTGGGCAGTGCTGTGCCGTGCGTGGTTGTGTGCGCACAGCAGGGACCGACGCCTGTGCTTTCGGAAAGGCTCCGGAGTTCTTGTTACAGGGACCCTTGCTCACTTGCTGCCAATATTGAGTCTTGGCCACAGAGGTACCTTAATGCATGCCTTAGCTACTTGTTTGCTCTGTTTTTCTCACCTGTGTTTCTGTTTTAACTTGTAGATTTTGGATCTTTGTTTGACCTGGAAAATGATCTTCCCGATGAGCTGATCCCCAATGGCGAGTTGGGCCTTTTGAACAGCGGTGGGAACCTTGTTCCGGATGCGGCTTCCAAACACAAACAACTTTCCGAACTTCTGAGGGGAGGCAGCAGCTCTTCCTTAAACCCAGGAATTGGAAATGTGAACTCAAATAGCCCTGTCCAGCAGGGAGTTGGTGGTCAGGTTCAAGGGCAGCCGAACAGTGCTAATATCGGTAATCTGGGTGCTATGGGTAAGAGCCCTTTAAACCAGGGAGACTCTTCTGCTTCAGGCCTGGCAAAGCAAGCAACCAGCACCTCTGGACCTACCACACCCGCCTCGCAAACTCTGAACTCTCAAGCACAAAAACAAGTGGGGATGGTGACAAGCAGCCCTGCGACATCACAGACTGGACCTGGGATATGTATGAATACTAATTTCAGTCAGACACACCAGAGCCTTCTCAACAGTAATTCTGGTCACAGTTTAATGAATCAGCCTCAGCAAGGACAAGGGCAGGTAATGAATGGATCTCTTGGGGCAGCTGGAAGAGGAAGGGGAGCAGGAATGCAATATTCTGCCCCTGCCATGCAGGGGAATGCAGGCAGTGTGCTGGCAGAGACTTTAACCCAAGTATCTCCACAGATGGCTGGTCACACCGGACTGAACACAGCACAGACAGGAGCAATGACTAAAGTATGTACATATAATTTAATATATTCTGCTTACTCCACTTGTTTTTTTTCTCCATACAGGTGTTCAGAAAATGTAGTAGATTCTTTTCTGGAACAAAACCGAAGAGTGCATTTGCTTGAGTCCGTAGTTATCTGGTTCAGTTCACATCATGAAAGCAGGATAATTGAAAAAGTATTTCTGGTGTAATCAGAAATGAAAGCACTTATTGAAAAACACGTCTTTGAAGTTCAGAGTTGGGTAGTATCTTAGCAGGGTGAATTAGAAAAGAGTAGCGTAATCCTGCAAAAAGGAAGCAGGATCTCAATTTAGCTGCCAGACACATCTTCTAAAGCAATGTGAAAACCGGTAGAGAAATACTTGTGAAGAGAGAGGTGTAGTGATTGGGCCTCTTGTCAAAGACCACTGTCAACAGCTGTGCAGTGAATGTTCTTGTAAATAGAGAGGAACTGATCTGAAAAGATGAAATTTTTCACATGCGTTGCCAAGCTAATGCAAACTCTGTGAAAGGGAAGGGCAGTGTCTGGGTAAGAAGTCTAAATCAGTGGCCACTGCAGGTCAGGGCAGGAAACACTAGGAAGTAGCTGCCTTGAGGCACTGCTCTGGTCCTTGGTTGACACAGTTATTGCTATTTAGTTCTTCATTTTCAAGGTGTGAGCTTGGAGAAGTGTTTTAATTGCTTCTCCTCCTGTCTTTCAGTTGGATAGCGGTGTGCCTCATCTCTTGTGTGTGGTGATCTGGTACAGTTCCTTCCTGAAGTTTTGATGGCAAACCCTTTGTGTTCTCTGGAATGTTGTCTATTCATCACTAGTCATTATCGTGACAGTGTATTAATACATAAATATTAATTCACTGATGTGTTAGGAATTGCAGAAAAAAAATTACATTGCCTAACATAAGTGTATGTCGTGTTCTCTGAAGAAATGCTGACGTCATGATGGAGTACTGTATATCTTTTTTTTTTTTTAAGTAAAGCTCAAAAAGCATTCTTTCTGCACTGAAGGGGATCCCTTTAAGGAAGGGATGCTTGCAGTCTGAAGGTCATAGCATTTGAAAGTGGATATAGCTGTCTCCAGCCTCCGAATTGGCTGAATTTGTTGTGAGGAGTGGATTGATCTGCAAAGAAAGAAAATGAGCTTATCTTTCATTTGGTTTTCTTTGAAATTTGTGGGAAGAGTGACAGATTCTAATTATCCGCCTTACTTCTATAAACTTGCAGATATCCAAGTTCCTAGGAGTAGATTTTTCCTAGCTGCTGTGCAATTATATGGTGAAAGTACTAATTTTCTATGTGAGCCAACTCCAGTAGAAAGTAGAAAGCAAAGGGACTTGACTGATGGAGTATGTATGAACTTGGTGGGGGAGATTTTGTGATGCCTCAGTTTATTTCAAACAAACTCACCCCAGTAAAGCATAGGCCAGCACTCGGACAAAATCTTTGTCAAGGACTTGAGTCTTAGCCTGAGAGCCGCTTGCACCGTGGGATTCACCAGCTTGAAAAGGTGACCTAGACTTCCTCTGTTAGTGTATGTTCAAGAGGTAAAGTAAAAATTAGTTTGAACAAGGAATATGTTGGAAAATAGTAGAAGTATCCCTAATACACAGATTGTTAGTTTGTCCTCATACGCGGTGCTGCGCTCAGCACTGGTGATGTGTTTCCAAACGGCCAGAGCGAAATTAGTGCTTTCAGAAGTCCTTTTGCACAGAGTTGTTTGGAGAAACTGAAAAAAATAGGGCTGTTTAATGACAGAGCGTAAGTGATAAAATGGTGCTTCTGTGAAGGTGCTAGCACTTAAGAGAAAACAATTTTTAAAACTTGGCTACCTTACAAAAATAGAAAAATTGGTGTTTTCCAGGATTCCATCTCTTGTGGAACAAGATGAAGCTTAAAATCGTCCTGTAGTGGTTTTTCTGTTGTTTCTTTGGTTGATTGGGATTTTTTAAGTTTTACTTTATTTACATCTTACATTCTCTCAGAAGCGAGCTCAATGTTTTACATAAATATTTTGTTTTTCTGTTTTGGAACACATTGCTCTCTGTATTTTTTTCTGAGAAGCAGTAGCATTCTTTTTTTTTTTTTTTCCCTTTTCCTTAGTAGACATTTGAGGATTTGGCATCCTTTTCCAGTTGCTTCCCATCCCCCAGTTAATTGTCCTAATAGGATTATCAACCGTGATTGTGTGTTAGCTTTTTCTCTTATTGATGCTCCAGTTGTGATGAAAGCTTTTAAGAAAAGTGAAGAAACACTTCAGTGAGTTTGTCTGTCCTTCTGAAGCTGAAATTTTTGCTGAAGGAGACCATGGGTTAGTTTGTTTTTTCACCTCCTGTTCCCTGATGTTTACTACTTAATGTGTACAGCTTAAAAGATTTGGAGAGCAGTAATAAAAGTGGTGAGGCAGCTGATCTGCCTAATATAGTCAACGTGTCTAACTTGACTAAATGGCTTAAAATGTAGCTGCAATCATGCTTGAAGGACTGTATCAAGGCTGAAAACTAATTCTCTAGGCGGTGACTGTAGCAATATATCCTAAGGGAAAGAAAAAGTGTGAAACACAAATGCAGAAAAAAAGATCTAGAAGAAGGTTTTAAACCAAGATGTTCTTGTTATGTTTAAAATAAGTGACGTGCATCACTGATGAACCTCATTCAGGTGTGGCTCAGAACCCCATTTTTCTCCATTCGATGTGTTTATATGCAGTGTGTAGCACTCGTGACCCTTATGGTTTGGGACACGTTTTGTTGGGCAAGACCTTGCTTCCTTGATGGTTTGTTCTAATCCTTTTTTAGTAAGTGACTAATCAAGGGAAGTCCTTTGCTTTTTCTGTTTTGGGTGGTTGTGTTTTGGTTTTTTTTTTCCCCCTTGTGGTTTGTTTTTATAAGCATTCTTTCTAGTAAGAGAAAAAGAAGGGGAAAAAGATCCTGATCCTTTCACCTGCTCTGAGAAACAACTAGGATTCGTTTCCTCTGGAGCATCATAAACCATTATTATTAATTTTGAGCCAGACTTGGCATTTTTAAGGCAGCTCTTCAGAGAATGAAACTTACACCACAAGTGAGCATGGTAACTCCAGCTCATGGTACGTGTGCTTGCGTAAGCCAAAAGTGGCAGATAAACCCTTAGCCAGTTTAAAAGAGAATGAAAAATAACTGATGCTCAGCATCGGGGGGCCATAAGGTGCTAACATCAAGACAAATGGTTTTCTGTTGGTAGGGGAAGAGTGAACCAAAAACTTCTTCTTCAATCTATAAAGACAAACCAAGGAACGAATGATTTCCTAGATTTCATACGATCCTCTAGAAGAAGCAGCCTGTCAACACAAGTTAAGCAGTAGTTCTGAAGTCATATTCTTGGTTTTTTGGGAGTCTATAGCATGTTCTTCATAGCCTAGAACATTTTTGGAAATAGGGAGTAGCATAGCCCGTGAGAAGGTTTTGTGAATTAAAGATACAACTTAGTATAGCAAGGATTTGAATTCTTCATTGGCTGTGACTGTGCAATTTGTGTATTCAGAATTATTTAGAGCACTTTTTTTGTGATTTTGACTTGTCCGAGATCATCTGGAAACCTCGAGGACACTTCCGTCTTCTGCATTACTGCATGTATCTGTGCTGTCTTCACAGCCAGACTCCTTTTCTGCAACAATTTTGTTTGTAACTGTGGCATTGTGGCCCTGTCTAATAGGGTGACACTGCAAGGGTAGTTTCCATTTGACTGGGTTGAAGTTCTTTAAGCAATCTACTTAAAAGAGCGGAAGAGTTCTTTGAACACTTACCACTTGATAGAAATAGAGGAATAGATCATCTTGTCACAGTAATTTCCAGTAGTAGCAGAATTGTTCTTTTGTGTTGTACCATGTTTTTTTGTAAAGTCCTTTAAGTCCAGAAAATGTGTTCAAACGAGCTAGAAACTCTTTTTAAATGAGAGTTGTTTTTAAGATAGTTGGTTGTCGAACACGTTAAGCGCTAGCAAAGCTAAGCAGATGGTCTTACTGCTTCCAGGGAAATGAGCACTTCGCTGGAAGCGTGCTCGGTGCCTAATGCTCTTCTGTGAGAGTTCATCTTTTGCAAATGAGGAAGATGAAGCCTTCATACAGTTCGCTGTGACTGGCAAGAGCTTGAAATCGTGTTTCTGTTGATCAGATAGTCTCACGCTGAGATGTGTTCCCCTCGTCCTAGTGCTGCTATCAAAGCTTGAGGAAAATCAGAAGAAAACGTTGGGAGGTCCCCAGTTGTTTTGTGTGGTTCTCAGACTTGCTTTTTGCACTCTGTTAAGAGTTTTGGGCAGTGATTCACGTAATTGATGCTTTCACTGTTTCCCTTAATAAGTCGTGAAGTCCTGTTGAGATGAGTAGGGCTCAAGTGTTTTCTTTTTCATGTGTTTCCAAGGTGTAATAGCTCCTTATACAATTCTGCAAAAAGAATTGCCTTTTCTTTGGTAACTTCAGAGTTGTATCACTCCGATAAGGATATGCTGGTACCCAGCAGCAGAAACAGGAAAAAATCCTGGAGTTGTGTGTGTCTGATGATCTGCAGAAGCCATTGCTTTTAAGCTGCAGTGAAACTACTGCTTGCTGGTGATCCTTTTCAAAGTGATTTTATCTGTAGAACTAGTAAACCTGGTAAACTAGTAAACCTACCTCAAGGTTAGTTTTCTTTATGAAAGCTGCATTTTAATCAAACATGTTACTGGGCTCTGGATGCCCCAGAAAAGGATATAATTGTTTGCTCAGATCTTAGTCCGAATCTATAAAGAGATCAGGAGAAAATTGTTATTTTCTTATGTAGTTACAAGGCTTGCATCATTTTATTATTTTTTTTTTAATGTAAAATCCCTTTTCAGGATTCTAGATTTTTAGTAACCTCATTTCTACACGTTTTGAAAACTCTACGGGAAAATAATTGTATCAATATAAGCTAGTATTTGTATTGATCTAAGCTAGTGTTTGTATTGATATAAGCTAGAATCTGCCTGGCAGGCAGAAACTGATAGAAAAGCTGATCTG